ACAAAAATAAAACTAAAAACACTAAAAAAAAAATAAACTAAAAAAAGTAAACTAAAAAAAAGTGAAATAAAAAATTTAAAAAATTAAAAAAAAAAAAAACAAAAAAAAACATTAAATAATAACAGAAAAAATGAAATAAAAAACAACTACAAATTTAAATAAAATAAAATAATGTAAAATAAAGTAAAATAAAATGAAGTAAAATAAAATAATTGATATAAAATGAAATAAAAATCAACTAATAAAAATAAAACTAAGAAATTTAAAATAAAATAAGATAAAAAAATAAAAAAAAAATAAAATGAATGATAAAAAATAAAAAAACATTAAATAAAAACAGATAAAATGAAATAAAAAACAAATATAAATTTAAAATAAAATAAAATAATGTAAAATAAAGTAAAATAAAATGAAGTAAAATAAAATAATTGAGATAAAATGAAATAAAAATCAAATAATAAAAATAAAACTAAGAAATTTAAAATAAAATAAGATAAAAAAATAAAAAAAAAATGAAATGAATAATAAAAAAATAAAAATAAACATTAAATAAAAACAGAAACAATTAAATAAAAAACAACTATGAATTTAAAATAAATAAAAAATAAAGCAAAATAAAATAAATGAGATGAAATAAAAATCAAATAACTAAAATAAAACTAAGAAAATTAAAATAAAATAAAATTGAAAAAATAAAATAGGATAAAAAATAAAAAAATAAATAAATAAAAATAAAATTAATAATAAAATACTAACAATAAACACTAAATAAAAACAGACAAAATTAAATAAAAAACAACTATAAATTTAAAATAAGTAAAGCAAAAAAAAGAAATAGAAAACGGAAGGAAGAAATAACTTATATTCAGAAATTAGCACAATTTAGTTTGTGTTACAAAAAAAATATATATATAATTTATTTTAATCTGTATTCGGAAAACTCATTTCGTATTCAATTTAAAATCAAATATAAATACCAGCAAACAAATTACAAAAATTTGTATGTAAGTTTGCTGAAAAATTCAAATCCGCTTTTCGTTTGAAGTGTTGCAAAATGCATTTATTTACATTAACCAGCAGAACGCAGACTGATACATACATATGCACTCGTTATGTATGCATTTAGCAAATAAATTACTACCACATCTATTCTATTATTTTTAAGCTAATATTTATTTGTATTAGAATTGCAGCAAATATGTACTAATAAATATACATATGTATGTACAAATGTGAATATGCAAACACATTTATTTGTTTGCTTATTAGTGTGTAAAATTAAAACTCTCCAAGTTGGCGGATTAAAAATTAACCAACGTTAAACTCAAAAATTAAAATTTCAAAAAATATTGCTTATTAAAATATTTAATTAAATAAGTAACTTATTTGTTGTGTAAATTTGTACTTCAAAGTAATCATAATTTTATTTTGATTGGCATACATGAATTTGGATTAATGGTTTTTAATTTCAGGAGTAGGGATCCAATTTGAAATTCATTTCAAAAGCTTAATATTCAGCTAATTGTGGAATATCAAAGGTTGTGAACACTGCAAGAGGATGCTATATATAAACAAATATTTGAAAAAATATTTGCAAAAATACATATTATTATTATAAATATAAAATATGTATGTGTATCGGAGTGTACTGTGGAGTCTGTGCGAGTTAAGCCATAGATGAACACACAATCTCACAGTTTATATTGAGGTTCGTCAAGCAAATTAAATGCATATCTTTGCATGTATGTAATTATATTGCTTAATACTTTTTTCATAATACAAAAGAATATTTAAAATATATATAAAAGATTTGTTTCGTCATCTTTATTTCCATGCCCGCCACTGTACTCACACACACACACACACACACACGCGCGCAATAATCTACTGCGAATGCAAACTTATTACAAAACTTTGACTCTAAAAAAAAAGGAAATAATTATTCTAAATAAAATAAACAACGCCACCAATGTACTGTTATTCATTTATTTGTTATTTGTTTGTTTGCCCGATTGTATTTATTGCATTAATTTTGCTAATGAATTGAGGCATATTTTTACTCACGTACATTGGTAGGTATGTATGTACATACCTATGTACATATGTACCATGCGCTCAAATATTCCACAATCGCTTCTATGCCGCACTCACATAAAATTGCCAATGCTTTTTTTTCTAAAATAATATTCGCAAATACACAAATAAACAAAAACACGGCGAAGTGGTTGAGCAAATAAATTTTTGTAAATAAGCAAGCAGCGGGCAAAAAAAAAAATTAATTGTTATGAAAAAACACAATTTGTGCTTGTAGCATCGTTTTTGTTGCGCTTAGTGGCAACAATGCTGCTAGTTTTTTTTTGTTGTAAAGCATACTTGCAGCATGTGTACGCTGTGCGCTGTGCGCTATGGCTTGGCTGATTGCGACGAGTTTAGTCAATGAGGGTGTTCACAGTATAGTGGAAATTTTGTTAAAATTTGAGTTTCAAATTTTCTTGAAAATGTGAAAATTTGATGAATTTATTTATTTTCAAACTTAAATTAAATTAATGAAAAATTTAAAATATAAATAATTTGTTTATTTTCGCTGTTTTAAAAATAAGCGAACACACAGAAAAAAATGTAAAAATGCATATTAATTAATGTATTTTAAAATTTATAGATTATAAAAAAAATTAAAAGGCCAGAATATTTGAAAAAAAAACAAGCCAAAACTTGTAATATTTTGTAAGTAAACCAATAACAAACGTAAAATGTTGCTAAAATTTCTCATGAACTCAGTATACAAATAACTCGGCTAACTTGTGACACAGCACTGATAAGACGGGCCTAGGATATATAAAATTTCAAACAAAATCAAACCAAATTTGGTAGAAACCACTTTGCAGCTGAAACTAAAGACTTAGGAAATACTTAGTAGCAGTATTGGACAGCCAAGTTGTAGTAGATGCTCAATGTGGAATAGCGAATTAAACGTTACGAGATCACTTTTATATTATATATAGATGCCTACAGATTTTTGTTGTTATGAAATGAATTGTACCTACCGTATAAAAAAAATAATTTATGCTTTCTTTTTAAATACCCTGTACTAAAAAGCCCCAACTGACGTTTTAGCCGAGTCTAAAATGAATTTTTGTCCCACATAAAAAAGTGACGAAAAATGGAAATAATTAAGATTCTTTTTGATCTGCAATATATCGATTTTACTACAGAACATTTTTATAAAATTTTCGGGTACTTACTTTTTACGTGAAATACTCCGGAAGAAAATTTCAAAACACAAAATCACGTAGTAACAAAATGCCACCTGTCAAAAAATTTAAAGCATTTTTCCGCTAAACTGTCAACGATGCAACTTCATAAGCATAAAGAACGTGTTAGGATCTGTTAGAACCAATTTTATATATTGCAGTATATTCCGAGTAAGAATTTTTAAGAAAAATTTTGGTATAAAAACATCCCAGCAGTGTCAAAACGGTTAAGAAGGTATCGGCAGCTCTTCTTTCACTAACCAATTCTCATTAAATCTGCCTCGTGATTGTTAAACCAACATTTTTTTTTTGTCACGCTAGAATGTTGGAGACGGGTACAAAACGAATAATAAATCGTTTTGAAGGCTGTTTTTTAGACATGTGGTTTTAAGTGAGAAATAAAACTCATATAATTTGCTCTTATAGCCGGGAAATTAGTTTAATTATTATATGAAACTAACGGTGTGCCACTATGTTTTAAAAATGTTTTCAGGTCCCAAACCAACGCACAGCCGCAGTGAAATTCATCTTCTCACTTTAGCTGACCTTGTTGGCCACCCAGAGCACCCATGGCCTAATACCAGAAATCGTGAGCTGTGAGGATGCAGAAGCTCTTCTTGGCAACAAGAAAACCAGATTCTAGACTGCAAATTCCATTTAATTTGGTTTACGTGCAGTTAATGTCATTAAATGCAAGAAAAGAAAAATTTAAAATGAGTGAAGACTATATGGAGATGAGAGTGAGGATAAACTGATCAACTCTTTGCGGAAAGAGTCAACCGGTTCAACCTCACTTCTCTCTTCAAATACACAGCAAATGCATTTATAATTTAACATAAAACAGAAAATAAATCCCAAAATTTAATAAAAAAAAAGTTCATCAATAAGATAAATAACAACGGAAAATAATTATAAAAAAAATAAAGACCAAAAAAAATATTTAATATTTGAAATATTAAATAAAAAATTTTGAAATTCATTATTTGAGAGCTCGAAAAATTAACTTTTTACATAAATATAATTATAATCTAAAATTTCAGAATTTTTCTGTCCTTAATTTTATTACGAACAGAAACAATATATGTATGTAAATAATCGCTAAAAACTTGTTTATTCCTAATTGCAATAATTTTCAAAACATTCACGATTTGTATCTAGTTTAATACACAGCTGACTTGAAAAATGATAACAAAGAATATGAGAAACTTTAAAAATTTATGCAAAGAGTCGAAGCAAAAATTTTGGAATTTTTTGAAAAATATTAATTATTTGTAGTAAGTTTATAAAAAAAAAGTTTAGTAATTTTCAAATGCAGATAAAAACAGATAAAAAGCGAGAAAACTTGGATATTCGTTAAATATGAGAAAGCTGAGAAATTTATGTAAAAACAAAAAAAAACATTTTAAGTTGGAAAATCTTCAATATCAACATTTCAACATTTCGAACTTGAAAAAAAGATGCAATTTTCAATTTTTTTTTTTAATTTGAAAAAAGTTTAAATTTTTTATAAAACTTTTAAAACGAAAAAAAAATTTGATCATAGTGAATACCTTAACCATTAACTTTTTCAATATTCAAAAACTTCAATGTATTTTTGGTATTTCTTTTTTGAGATTTAAATAAAAAACTATTAAAAACCAACTAACTCGCAACTTGCAACGCAAAAAAAAAGTTGAATATAAATTTAGAAAATTCGCTATGGCGTGTGCATGTGTTTGTTGGATATTTATTTATAAATGGTAGACTCACCTATTAATGTACAGCAGAGATATAAAACTGCGAACGCATACAAACCGCATACGCGCCACCGTTGACTGTGCGGTTGTTGTTGTTGTTGCCTGTGTTGCCCCATAATTGTAAACTTGTTGCAGGTTTTCCGTCCTTTTAAATTCACTCTTTACGTTTGGCGTGTGATTTTTTTGTTTTTAATTTTTTAATATGTTTTTAGTACAATAAGTGCGTGTGTTTGTGTGCTGATTTATTTTTAGTCACACTGACCGGCTTCCCTTTTTTCAATTATAGTCACAAATAAGTGCACAACACAAAAACAAATTGTTTGAAATTCGTTTTTTTTTCGAGTTTTTAAATTGAAGCTGAAATTTCTTTTATTTCAATTTTACAAGTGTAATATTTTTTACTTTCAATTAATTTTCGTGCGCTTGTGTTCTAATTCACCGCACTCATTGCTGTTGTATTTATTATTTAGCAATTTCAGTTCAGCATGGATACTTTGGTTGACTTGTGTTGAGCTACGTCAGTGACACTCGAAATGAGTCAGTTGGTTAACAGTATTTATCTTTAAAAAAAAATTAATACTTTTTTGGTATTTTTATTTACAATGTCTGTTTCAAACACTCATTTAGCTAATATTTTCGCGCTTATTTCACGATATATGTATTTCAGCGTTATTTAAAGCTGTTTGGCTGCCAAATGAAATCAAGTTTGTGGATTACAACCCAATTAATTTTGTTAATTTACAGCTGCTTTGGCGAATGCGTGAAAGTGACAATGCTGAAATGAAAACAAATAAAATAAGTATTAATAAGGAATTATCTATCAAATATTTTATTAAAAAAAATATTTTCATATAAACTTTTCAATTTTTTTAGTTCAATACTAATACTCATGATTTGAGTTCATTTTTTTACTTTATTTTTAAATTCTTAAGTAAGCATCAACCTTTTAACGTGAGCTTTCATGATTTTAAATAAGCTTTCACTCTTTTAAAACACAGCATGAGCTTTTATGATTTTAAATAAGCTTTTATTCTTTTAAAATACAGCTTTAACTCTTTTAAATCGAGCTTTAGCTTAATGAGCTCCGTTTTCGCAGATGTAGCTTTCATGAATTCCTTAAGAAGTAAACGAGTTTGTACCACACGTTATAGATTTTATAAAAAAAAATAGTTTTGTGTAAGCTTGCAATAAATTCATTGATAGCATTGTTATATTGAAGTTATATTTTTTTCATTTTATTATGAGCTTTCGCTATTTCCAAATGAATTTTCAATATACATAAATGAGATTTCAGTGTTTACAATTGAGCTTTTACTTTAAAGCGATTTTCGCCCGAACTCCTCCACCGCCTTCGGACGGCTGATGGTTTTTTTACGAGGAGCCTTTATTTTATGTCCGAAATACACTCGGATGGGTTGACATTCCCTGTCGAGGGCGTCCGCAATTAGAAAATTCAACATAATTTTTTATTTTGAATTAATTTTTTATAACCTTTGGATGTTGGTCTTACAAAGATTTGAACCCGGGCCTTCCGAATGGCAGTACGCAATACTAACTACTGGGCTAAATCGACCGAAAATGCAGTTACTATTAATTTTAGTTTAATTATATTGTGGAGACTTATTTTAAATATTTGAATGTAATATGTTAACTAAAATATGTATGTTATGTATATCTATATTAGTATATGCACTTAGGATCAGCCGAAAATCATCTCAGCGGTTACAAAGCACTAATTTTGTATATTAGACTCTATAGATTTTTTTAAACTCATTTTGAACATCTTAAAAGAGTGCACCATTTAAATGAGAGCCATTACTGTTTACAGTTCAGCTTTCACTCTTCACAATTCAAATTTCAGAGCTTTCACTTTTTTGAATTAGCCTATATCAGTGAATTCTCCCTCTTTGGAAAAGTTTTTTCACTTTTCATTATCAAAGAAGCACTTTATATATTTACATTTGATTTAAAAAAAATTTATTTCAAGTGTTATTTGTATTTTCTTTTTAAATAACATTTCATTGCTTAAATTTTTGAAAAAGAAGCTTTCGCTATTACTTTTTTCTAAAAAAAAAATGAGGTCGTGGAATGTTTGCAAAAAAACATTTTTTCTTGAAATTCGATAGTAAAATGTAATAATTTTCATGAAATTTGCCAGTTTTGAGCTTTCATGGTTAACAAATATATTGTGTTCTGAACTTTCAAGCAGAAGTTTGATTTCAAAATCTAATTTTTAGGATTTATTTTTTTTTAACTTTAAAAGTTGAGTTCTCGTATGTAGTATAATAAACGTGAAAACTTTTGAATTTTCGAGGATACAGTTTCATAAAAATCTGTAGTTTTGAATAAAGAATATTTTGGGATTTCAAAGCAACTTGTAATTGAGCTTTCATTCAAAATAGAGCTTTCAAACTTTCATAAAATATTTTTTATGAATTATTTCTATTAGTCATTGGCCTTTCATTACATGCAACGCACTTGCGAAAATATATGAATCTACAAATCATGAGTTCTAACGTTACCAACATGCCATAGCAACAAGAAATTACTGTGCTACATTTGCGGTGCTCAAAGCTGCAAATAATGCTTGATTGCTGTGGACAGTACGACCCATTTTCCTTTGTGCATTTTTTATTTTACTTAAAATACAGAATACGGCAGAAAGAAATGGTGCACAAATGCTTATTACATACTTATATAAAAGCGAATATGCTTTCTGCAATTATTTTCGTACATTTACACGTACGTATGTATGTATGTATTTTAATACAATATTACACGTGTATGTATGTATGTATTAACTAATAAGCTAACATTTTAAAACTTGCAACTTTGTAATGTTGCTTTCCTCTTTTCGTTTCAGCAGCAACACAAAGACAGCTTAACAACAACAATCAACCATATGTATATATATATATATATATATACTCGTTCATACAAAAATACACGGCCAAATTCGTAAATTTGCCTCAATTAACCTAAAAACTGTAACGCAAATGTTGCACTTCAAGTGCAGCAATACCAATGTCAAGGGTTATTAGGGCAATTTTATTACATGAGCTATGGCTAACGAAGCGGAGAGTAGTAAATGCTTGTGGATTTACTTATGTATGCATGTATTTAAGTATGTAATAAAATTTACTAGGGACTCCACATGGGAAGTCTACGTTGGGTTGGATAATTAAGTGGAAATGAGTGCATATAAGTGTATGGACGATTTTCGGTTTGGTTTAGAAATAAAAAAAACTTTACGGTAGTAATAAAAAAAATTTCAAAATTATTGATCTGAAAGTAACTAATTTGTAACTAATTTGTAAAAAAAATTCTGCAATAATGGATAAAAATAAACTTTATAAATTGGTTAAGTTCGACAGTAACTAGTAGGGAACTATAACGGTGTGTCCTAAAAATAACCGAGCTTTATATTTAAATCATACAACATACAGCGCCATCTATTGCATTTTGCAACATTAAAAAGATACATTCATCCTCTTTCAAACGCATCTAACTTCATGTAACTCGGATGACAGATGTTAAAGTGACAGCCATTTCAATAAAACCAAAAGTGTGCTAATAGTTCAAAAATAAAATGGAACAAAGAGCAAATTTAAAAATTTTGTGTCAAACTTGAAAAAAAATTAATGAAAAAAGTTTATTGTGATGATTGTACGAGTCGTACGCAAGTTTATACGTGGTTTACACGATTTAAAAATGGTCGTGAGGATTTAAATGACTACCCTAGGGCAGGACGTCCAGAAACTAGCAATCGTGCTGAACTGGTGGAAAAAGTCCGTTAAATCATTGGTATCGATGCAAATTTTACTACGAGAATATTGGCTGAGAAATTGAATACGAGTAAAAACACTAATTGGAGAATTTTAACTGAAGACTTGAGGAAAAAAAAGGTCTGTGCGCGATTTGTTCCACATGAATTAAATAACGACCAGAAAATCGCTCGAATTTTTAATGAAAAAAGGAATTTCTCTCATCGACCATCCTCCGTATTCGCCTGATCTATCCCCATGTGACTATTTTTTATTTCCAAAACTAAAAACCAAGGGAGCAATTTATGATAATATCCTTTTCCTTTTTGATAGCCTTTCAAGCAGCCGTAACCAAGGTACTGAAGAACATTTCTATAAATGACATATAAATGCGCTGGTTGATCGTTCCAAGCGTTGTGTTGAGTCAAATGGAACATATTTTGTATAAATAATAACTTTCAAAAATAATATAATGTGTATTTTACTTTTTATCCAAAAAGTTCGGTTATTTTTGGAACACACCGTGTATGCAAAAAATAATATGGTGTTATTATAAAATATAATAACATAAGTTATAGTTTAATTTCAGTGAGTAAATTTGAATAGCAAATAACGCAGACTAGTACAGAGATAACTAACGCACTGAAAGAAAGTTATTCTAATTTAAAAATAAAACTAAATAAGGCCACAATTTATTATTAACATTTATAAGATTATTTGTAATTAATTTTCATTGAACAGTTATTTATAAGAATGCTTAATCTACGTAAAATTTTTTTTTTTTTTTGAAGATGTATAAAACTGCTCTAAAGCTATGAAAACGACTCGCTCGAAATTCCCACGCTTGAATGCATCGCCAAAGTTGCCATACATAGCCATTCTCAAGTATATATGTATGTATGTATATTACAACGATTGACAGTAATATAAGACTGTCACCAATGTTTACTTTATTTTATTTGCAATAAATTGATATTAAATTTTCAATCGAGTAAACAACTAAGAGAACACTTGTCGGCCTTGGTGCTCAACTATGGAAGCAAATAAAGTGCATACCTTCTTTTTCTAAATATACGATGCTCGCTGCTGGACAAATAAACCTTTATTTCTAACAGTTTTAAGTATCTTTATACAATTGAAAAATACTAAAATAATTAATTTATTAATTTCTCTTAAAATTGAGAAGAACAAAAGTGAAAAAAGATACAAAGAGGTGAAATTGATGAAGTTTTTTCTGGTATTTTTCCAATTTTAAAACAAAATGATATTTAAGGTTTTAAAATCAATCGACAAAAAAAAATCAACAAATATGCAATTGATTATTTTTCAATCAATAATCGCATGAATGAGTTCACAATTAAAAGTTAATAGACCAACGGACAAAACATAATAAACAGATTGCAAGCATTGGCGAATGAAAATCGCATAAACAAAGCGCACGTTTGTATATAAAAATGTAAACAGTCAATAATAAAAGTTGGTGAACGAAACC